TCACCCTGACGATTCTGAGCTGTTGATGCCAAATAAACTGTTGCGCCTCAAGTCTAACGCCTGCCTTCATCTTGACGTATTCAAAGAGCAAGACAAGTACAATAAGCGCCGGCGGCAGACACAGTGTCTGGCAGACGCCTTCTGGAAAAGATGGTTGAAGGACTACTTGCGTTCACTACAGAGAAGACAGAAATGGTATTCGCCCCACCGCAACTTGGCCGTGGGTGATTTAGTCCTGGTTGTTGACGAAAAAACGCCACGAGGGCTTTGGCCGATGGGTGTCAACAAGGAGGTGTACCCTGACAGCAATGGTCATGTCCAAAACGTTAGAGTCAGAATGGCATCATCTGTGTGCAGACGAGACATCAGAAGGCTATGTCATCTTGAAGGGGTTCAAGATCCCGGAACCTGACGTAAAGAACCCCATTGGAAGAATTTTTGAACTTATGACTATGCTACGACTTTATCAGAAAATAGAAGAAAAAACGAACTGTGTAATCTTAGTAATTTGTTGTGTCTTGTTAGAATTAGCCTAGGTGGCTAATTCGGGGCGGGGATGTTACAACAAATTTTGGGCCAGCGGCCCGTTCACGTGATGGGGCTTAGTCCCCTCTCGTCAACATATATATTGTAGTGTTCGCGCGTAAAACTTCTTTATGTTACGTAGTTTGGTGTTGTTTGTCTTTAAGCTGCGTCTCGCGTTCTTTCATGATCCAAACCGTCAGGTGTGTTTTATGTTTTCATCTCGCCGCGCTTATATCGTTTATTATTTTGTTTATGTCATTTATTTTCGGTAGTTCGATTTAGTGTAATTTAATTTTGTTGTAGAAACCACTGGTCGAGAAATAAAAGTATATGGTTCGGATAGCCATTGAGTGATGTTACTGGTTTGTACGTTACAACCTGTTTTGTTTTCGATTTTATTGCACGAATCGTCAAGAAGCCAAGAATTGCAACACAAATAATGAAGAATGCCATGAATGATTCAACTAACTATTCTCCTTCGGCTTAAATCTCTGCTCTGTATTCCTGCACATGGGCATCACCGAGATTAATATTCAAAAGTGAAACGGAGAAGAGCATTATCAATACGATGCTAATGAACCAGAACAGAAAAACGCATGATAAGGCTTTCCTGTTGCTTTTCCAGACGTTGTACCTGAGGTCGTAGGAAATGGCCAGAAAAATATTTACAATCATCGCCAGCAGCGAGCTAAGGTTGACAGCGATGTAAACTCGGTCAAAGAAACTTGTTATGATTGCCAAGGTCTTCCCTCAAAACCAACTGGCTTCAGGACGGAGTAGATCGTGTACAGCGGCAAGTAGATGACTGCATTGAGTAGTCCAAATAGAGCGAGGTTGGAAAGGAGAATGTTTGGGACTGTTCGTAGCGATTTGAATCAAACAACAATCGCAATAATGAAGCCATTACCACAAGCAGATACCAAAATTAAAATGGTGATTAGCCCGCACATTATCAATTTCCTGGAGAACGATTCGAAGATGACCATTTTGTTTAATTTTTTCTTCAAGCTTCTCTTTGTTTGAGAGAGACACCTTCCTCTGCGTTGGACTCGAAATTTCTTGTTTGCTTAGCTTATGGAGTGTATATGTATTGTTATGAAAGAGTTTTTCATACCAAGTTCTATTTCTTGTCTAGAACTAGAAAAGACATCCTGTGTATGGTGTTCATAAGATTTCTAATGGAAAGATAAAGCGGAAATTGGATGGAAATGTGGTTGGCTGACCTTATTAACGATTTCTTTCAAAGACAGAGTTCATCTACATGCAGACATTTTTGTGAAGAACCATTGTGTACACCAAGTATACAAGACTTGATTTGGCACCTTCTGCCACTCACATACACTAAAACCACATCGTCTCTAATCTTCTTGGACGCTGAGCATGCATTTTTTTGAAAAACTATCGCAGCTCAGGTGATTTCATCGCACAACCGCGCTGTTAATGTGCACACGGGAAAGCAGGCGGTAAATCTTGCGAGCGCGAGTGATTCAGATCAGAACGCACGCGGTTTCTTGTCTGCGTCTGGATGCATTCTCAGCCCGCACGTGATCAGAGTGAGAGAGACGATAAAAGCCTCGATGATGTAATGGTTCGCTTGTCGCTCTCTGAATGGAAGACATTTATTTCGCGGTCTCTAGCCCTAAAACCCAGGAATATAAAAAAATGGTCACAAAAACGTGACAAAATGCTGGATACTGAGACAGAGCGCATAATTTATTACCCTCTCACTGAGCAATATGTAGTTAGGGTTGTTGGAGACAACAGACCATTTCATTTCTATACCTCAAACACAGACAATATTCATCTTGGTAATTTCCGTCATATTAAACTTAAACAATGAAACTCCTCATAAAAGGAGGTTTCCACGTAAGTCTTTGTAAAACATTTGGCATTCTTGTTATTAATCACTAACTTCTTTTTAAGATAGACAATTTATTTTAACGCAGAAAAATTGGATGATAGTGTCCGGAATTGAACGATATTGTCCGAAAATGGTCGATAATGTCCGAAATCGGACGATAATGTCCGAAATCGAACGATAGTATCTGAATTGGACGATAGTATCCAGAATCGGACATAAGTTTGCGAAATCGGACGATAGTGTCTAGAATTGAACGATAGTGTCCGAAATCGGACAATAATGTATGGAATTGGACAATAGCGTCTGAAATCTGACAAAAGGGTCAGAGATTGGACGGTAGAATCCGAAATCACACAATTGTGTTCGAAATTGGACAACTGCGTCCTAAATTTGACGATACCATCCAAAATTTTGCTATGGTGCCTGAAATTAGACAATAGCACCCGAAATCAGATGAAAACGAACGTAGGGTCCGAAGAAAATTGTTATAAATCAGTACTTACAGCCTTTCCGAGGGCTGTTACATCAACTCTTACCATTTTGAAGGGGGAAGCTCGTCGATTTCCTTAGTTGAAATACCCTCCTTGCAAGTAGATAAGAACAAATTTCAGACAGTTAACATAGTCGTATCAGCTTCCTTCCTCCTGTGCAATATTGCCCTGCTCGACTGCTCGTTTCGATGGAATGTCATTACGTATCAACCCCCGCCAGCTTTGTTGCCATACCAACTTCGCATAAATTAATCCCTACACCTTAACTTAGTATTCATATTCTTCATGCTAGCCTGTCCTCTTTACATTACATTTCCCGTAGGATTGAAAAGGTGAATTTGTTTGACAATCAGGAGTTTCATAAATTAGTGATAATATCCTTTATTCCCTTAACCTCATGTATGATTTAACGGCAAAACTTTAAGCCGGTCACTCTTCGTCGGTTAAAAAACGCAACAGCTTTGGCCCATTCAGGTATCAAAATAGTTTCGAATTTTTGATCCATTTTAACTTCCTTTGAAGCGTCTTTTTTATTTTTTTTTTAATTTCAAAGCTTAATTCCTTGACGATCGACAAAGTGAAATGACCGTTCTTTATTATCTGGGTAATTGCTTTTCTTTTTCAATCTTTTCCGTCCATCAGTTTGCTGCATTTTAAACCGCAGTGTTCAGAGGCTCAAAGAGTAGAAGATCAATCCCCAACATGAATCCCTAAACTTGGAAAAAAGAAACTTCAGTCGATCGTAGAGCAGCTGCTCATTTATTTCCAGCGAAAAATACTTTTGTTACATGATATAAAGCTGACCCTACTTGTATCTGCACTTGGAAAGGGGTTTTAATTTTTAAGCACAACTAAGGGCCGTTAAAATGGCTGAAGGGTCCTACCTACACTAGCATTTATGGTTACCAATTAATTCCTTTTTGTCTTCCTTAGTGACCACTCATTATTTATCACCCTGAACAAAGGAGGAT